CTGACATGGAAGTCCCACTTTCCACCCCACCTGGAGTTGATGACCTGTGTCCTGTGCAGGGAGGAATTGGGCCTGGCTTCTCTCCCCACCGAAGCCCAGCTTTCCCACCACCACCCACTGATCGGTCCACCCTCCACGGACCTGCGTGGAGCCCGGACCGCGTGTCATCCCCGCTTGCATGGGTCTCTGAGCCCTTGGACCTCCCCATCACTGGTCCATCTGCCTCTTCTTGGGCCCAAACTGGACTCTTCTCTCACTATGGCAGTGTCATCGGTCCCACTGCCCCGCAGGGCACACCTAATAGTAGCCTCACCTAAATTCTTGGAAATGAATTGTCCTGGTCCCTGGGCACCCACTGAACTCAACGAAATCCACAGAGGAAAGAGGATCTTATTGGTCATCTTGTTTCCCTCCCTCCCCACCCCCAGTGGAGGGGCCCATCTCAGAGACTGTCTGAAGCTGGCCGGGTGTCCACCTGGCTGCAGGCCTGTGGCTCATACCTGTGCATCCAGCATAAGGCAGTTGCCCCTCCATCAAATAACCCCGGTCTTCACGGCCCCAGCACGGGGGCCTCCCCAGGGGACTTTTCCAGGGCACGAGGAGCCTGGCTTCTGGCCAGAACTGCTTTGAGAGATCTCGCAGGCCAACCACAGGCCTCCCAAGGACGCTGCCCACTCCCCCCAGACTTGGGGCACAGCCAGGGCACTTCCGTCCTTGGGGGAGCTGGCCTCACCGGCCACGACCATGGCCACGGCCACACTCACATCTGCACCCCCGGCCTCCTTTCAGGCCTCCTGTGAAGACACTTTCCCCACTCTGGCCCACGCCCCAGTGCTTTCCCACTCGTGGCCCTTCCTCCCGCTCCCTCCCTGGCCCCAGGGTTCATCAGACTGCAGGTGGCTTTTGTCCTGGGCTCCCTGGCACACCCGTTGGTGCCCTTCCGGGGGGTGGGGGGTCTTGCCGACACTGTCGCAGTACAGGGTTAAAGTCTTCACTCTCCTCCCACTTTGCCTGTTGCTGTGATCGGCTCCTACGACACCTGGTGGCTCAGCTCTTTCTCCAGCTCAGCTGAGCCCCTGACACGGACAGTCGCCACCCTCCCATTTTACAGATGAGGAAACTGAGGCTCGGAGAGGTGCAGCGAGTCAGTCGTGGGCCAGATCTTACGATGCTGAGGTCTAGGTCAGGGCCCTACTGGTAGCCAGCTTTGAGTTCATCTCTCTGTGGCCGCCACAGTCTCTCTGCTAAATTATAGGCACCACAGGGCAACGACTATTTATTTTGGAAACTGGCATTTCAAGAAGCCTTTGTGGAACAGACGAAGACCATGCAAATGAGGCCAAGCCCGGCTGTTTATCCCGCCGGCTCTGGCAGGGGCCCACCAGCGTCACCTGGGCTTGGCAGGGGCTCAGGCAGGCACAGCTTAGAGCGGAGAGAGGAAGGCCCGGGTGCGGCCTGATGGAGGCTGTCGGCGAGGGAAGCTGGGGCTGGACCAGCAGCTGCACCCCATGTGCCTCGTTGGGGAGCAGATCCGGTTTTCTCCGTGGGGCCCTGAACTGGACGTGGGGACAAAAGTTAGGGAAGCTGCTGGTCACCGGCCACATTCTGGCCATTCCGGGCAGCAGCTGCCAAGGTTGTAGGTCAGGCTTCTGTGGCCAGGCGTCTACGGCTCGGCCATTGTCTGTCTGTCTGTCCAGCCCGTCAGCATGAGTCCAGCAGGTGCCAGTGTACATGTCCCATCGGTTAACTTGCTGGACTCTATCACTTAGGCAGCTGGATGTCCCGAGGTGGCACTGACCTTTGTGAACTCGGTCACTCACTCATTCCTGCATCCAGCGGGGCTTTCCCGGGAAGGCATGAACGCACTGTCTCTGTTAACCTGGAGAACCCTCGGCAGGTGTGTGGGTGTGTGGACCAGGCTCAGGTGGAGAGAGCCCGTGTGGATGAGTACCTGCCAGGCCACAGGCCGCTCGGGCCTGCATGGGTTCTGGGGGGCGGAGGGGGGGACCAGGAAGAGGCTGTTTCAGTTAAACAATGGAGGGACAGACTCGCACTGAGATTAGCCGAGTTCGGGTCCCCCCAGTTGCCGGTGCCTGGGGCTTGGCCGGGCTGAGGCATATCCTGGAAGCCGAGCGGCCTGCCTGGTGGAGGGCCCACGTTTCCTGAAGGAGGGGCCGGACGCTGGTGGGGCCACAGCTAAAACCACGACGGCAGGCCACTGCCAGACAGGGCCCACGTACCCTGTGTCTCTCAGTTTGTGGGTGAATTTAGGATGCACAGTGTTTACTTAGAGCCCCGTGCTCCCCAGGGACCCCAGCCAGGCACAACCACACAAGATGTGGAATCTGACCCCCGGCCTGGGCAGCCCGAGGCTGGGGTCAGGGTCCGTCCCCCAGGACACGGACACCCCTCCACCCCTGAGATGCCAGACTCCTCCCTGGCGTCTCTCTGGGACCCCGTCCCCGACACACACAGCAGCCTCGGGGTGACCGTCGCCCTTGACGTTGGAGTACATCAGAGCGTCGAGCTGTGAGCGTCTTAGTTTACACACAGGTGCTTTCCCAGGAACGATGCTCTTTCCTCCCAGGCCGCTTCTCGCGTTCAGTGGCGTAAATGACAACAATGCCCTGCCCTCCCGTCACAGAGCAGCTGCCGACCCTCCCTCACCATATCCCCCAGAGGGCCTCACACGCCCATCCTCCCAGACGCTGCTCAGGCCGCCACATCCCTCAGTCTCGCTGTCCCCCCCAGGCTGGCATGAGCCTCGGGCCGGAGTCCAGGTCTGCACACAGCCGGGCCGCCCACCGCCGTCCAGCCTGCCCTTGGTCCCCGCACCCTCGGGCGTGTCCACACCCCGTGGGTGCCTCCAGGCACTTGAGGATGCCCCTTTGCAGGAGGACATCAGCGTCCCTGGCTGTGCCCCACTTGATGGCCCCAAACTCTGTACCATGTTGAGCGCTGGGGCGGGGCAGCGAGTGTGGTCTGGGTTCAGGAGCCCAGTTCCTTGCTTGCACAGCGCATGTAAGAATCCCCGGTGTCCTGGATACGAGTCCCCTGTCCTCTCGCCCTTTCGCCCGCAGTGTGTTGCTCTGGCCCCTCTCATCACTGACCTCTCCTTCCAGGTTTCACGCTCTCACTTTGAATTGCTTTCTCCTCCTCTCTTCTTTGAGCTCGGTGTCTTTCCTCTGAACTGGTTCGGAGAGACCTCTTGTTGCCTAAATTCCCTTGACTTAATGGAGAAAATGAGCTCCTGTCTTCCACTTCATCTGCCCCGTCTGTAACGCCCCCTGCTCCCCCCACACTCTCCCCTTGGTGCCACGCTGGTCGCCCTCTGGCCGCTGTGAGTCCCTGGACGGGGGAAGGGGCAGCCCCATCGAGGGTGGGGGCCAGGCCCGAGCGCGGGGGGAGCGCAGAGGGGGCGTCCTCTGCTCTCATGGCCGCAGCCCCGCTGACTTGCTGACTGATCCCCGTGGTGCACTGACCTCTGGCTCCAGGGCCAGCACCCCTGTGTCAGGCTCAGACCCCTTAGCAGGACCGCCAGCCCCCGAGGGAGACAGCTCTGGGGAACGGCTGTTTCATTCGCATGTGCCTGTCATTTGTCCCAGGCCACGGCCTGACACATGCTGGCCGAGTCTGGAAGGGTCCAAGGGGCAGCCATGGGCTCTGCTCCGAGCCAGCACTTCCCTCCACTGCGGGGCCGGGTGGGCCGTCTGGAACCCCACCTCTAGTCACAGGTGCTCCCTGCGCTCCCCGCTCTCCTTTCCTATCATCTGGGCTCAGGTGAGCTTTGTTTCTGATGACCTTGAACTGCGGAGCAGGAGCCTGTCTGCTCCTCTACAACGTGTGGGGAATGCAGTGCCCAGGCCAGGGCGGCGTCCAGGTCCTGTCCGGGGCCCTGCCCTCCTATGGCACCACTGGGACCGTGTCACAGACGGCTGAGCTGGGGGCTCGGGGATGCCGTGCCTGCCTTGTCTCAGACCCTGGAGGCTTCCCGTGCGCGAGCCTGTCTCCCAGGGACCACGGGCTCCCCGGGGCCGGGTGGGGGCTTCCTTGTGCCCCAGCACACCCAGCACAGCGCCTGGTGGTTGACTTGAAAATGGCAGCAAAACCCAGGGGGACGGGGTGGAAGGGTGGGAAGGAGAGGTCACGGTAGACCCGGGTGGCCGTGAACCCTCGGTGCCTCCGCTTTCTCACTGGATAGACGGGCGTCGACTGAAAAAAATGCACAACCTAAAAGTTAAGAGTGTGGTTTATTCGGCGGACAAAACTGAGGACTTAACCAGGACACAGCATCTCAGATGGCTCTGAGGGACGGCTCCGAGGTCAGGGCGGAGCCAGGATACAGAGGAGTTTTGTAAGAAAACCAGGTAGTCAGACCATCAAAAGAATGCTGTTAATTAAAGAAAACCAGACACCTCAAGTTAAGGGATTCAGTGCGTTTCTGTGTATGGGAAGATGCAAGAGTCCGGGCTCACTGAAATCATTCCTTTTTTTTTTTTTTTTTTTGCGGTACATGGGCCTCTCACTGTTGTGGCCTCTCCCGTTGCGGAGCACAGGCTCCAGACGCGCAGGCTCAGCGGCCATGGCTCATGAGCCCAGCCGCCCCACGGAATGTGGGATCTTCCCGGACCGGGGCACGAGCCGGCGTCTCCTGCATCGGCAGGCGGACTCTCAACCACGGCGCCACCAGGGAAGCCCTGAAATCATTCCTTTGATGTGCACCTCAGCTACCTGGGGCCAGCATCCCGTGCTTTCCCGTCCTGAGCCTCCTCAGGGTGCATGTCGGGGGTGGCTGTAATGTGCTGGCTCGATGGCTGAAACATCCTTTGTTTTCTGATGTGTCAGGAGACATTCTCAGTCCACACGGGATAATCGTGACGCCCTGCTCACAGGGCTCTTTCGAGGACCCTGTAGGACACTGAGACCAGAGCCCGGACACCCACACCTGGGCGCCCCCGTAAACGCCCTGGCATAACCCACGTGTGATTTCCTTGACACAGACCTGCGGCCCCTGGACATCCTGGCAGAGGCGGTCCCTCCTGATGGCACTGCGGTCGGGGTCACGGTGACACAGGTCCAAGGTGCACGAGGACTTCAGCTCTCAGCCGCTGCCCCCCACGACCTGAGCTTTCCTGCGTCAAGGATTTTCTTCAGATGCGACCTCTTCCCGGAAGAATTTTCCATCGTCGTAACCTTGAAAGTTCCCAGTCTCCCCCCTAAGGTCAGTGACACTTCCCACTCTTCCTGCAGAATGACCCCCCCCTTCCCGTACCTTTGCACGTTCTCAATGCCAGAGCGTGCGAAGGGCACGACTGATCCGGTCAAGAGGTCAAGAGTGGCCGGCCGTGATAGGTAGTGAGGTCCCCGTCACTGTGAGTATGCAGGCAGAGCCTGTGTGACCATTTGTTAGGAGTCTGTACAGCAATTATAATTTTCTGGCGTGCTAAGCTGTCAAAGGCTAGGGATAAGGCTCGGAGTTTTTAGTTTGACATCCTTTAGCAGGAAATGTAAACAAAATAACAAAAACATACTCTTCTGGGGTCTGTTTACCTGTGACTTGCAGTCCCATCCTCCGCAGATCCAGCTAACATTCCCACCATCCCCGGCTAGGGTGGAAGCGCCCCTGGAGGCTTCCCCAGGGTCCAGGACAAGGCACTTCCTGGGCGTGTGACCAATCCTTCCCATTCCGAGTCAGCATCCCCGATTCTCTCACAGCCAAGGTTCTCCCAGCTGGTTTTCTGTCGACTGATTCCATCCTGATACCCCCCGGGGGCTCGTCGTTCTGTACAATCTGCTCTCAAACCCACAGCTGCTGGGCTTTCAGCTGCAGCCATTGCATTTTCAGTTCTGTGAGTTCCATTTTCCTCTTGTTTTTAATGTGAATTCCAGTTCTCAGGTGAAAGTCTGGCTTGTCAGCTGCTTTCTTGAACAAGCCTCCAACCTGTGGGTCCCCCGGGGGACTGGCTCGCCGTCAGCTCCATCTCTTTATTTACTGTCATGCTCAGGAACTTTCTAACAGGCTCTTTGAGATATGATTCACACGTTTGAGGTGCGCAATTCAGTGGTGCCCGGTGCCGTCAGCGGCTCAGTGCAGCCCTCACCACAGCACGTTGTAACTCATGCTCATCACCTCGGAGAGAAGCCCTCTGGCTCCCCCCACACGACCCCACTCCCTACCCCCAGCACTGAGCAGCAACTCACTGACTTTCTGGATCTGCGGGTTTGCCTACTGTGGACATTTCATATAAACGGAATCATATACTGTAATATATGATCTTTGTAACTAGCTTACGTAGTACGTGTTCAAGGTTCACCCGTGATGTAGCGTGTATCAGCGCTTCATTCCTTTTCATGGCCACGTCACATTTTACTGTGTGTATATAGCACATTTTGATCACCCCATTCATCGTTGATGGACATTTGGCTTGTTTCTGCCTTTTGGTTATTATGAATAATGCTGCTATAAACATTCACGTACACGTTTTTGCAGGGGCATGTGTTTTCATTTCTCTTGGGTATATACTTAGGAGTGGAATTGCTGAGTTTTAGGGTAACTTTATGATTAACGTTTTAGAAACTGCCAGACTGTTTCCCCAAGGTAGCCACACCATCAGATATTCCCACCAGCACTGGATGAGGGTTGCAACTTCTCCACAGCCTCACCAACACTTGTTATTATCTGACTTCTCGATTCTAGCGACCCATGTGGGCCTGAAGCAGTATTTCATTGTGGCTTTGATTTGCATTTCCCTGATGAATAATGATGGTGTGTATTGGTCACTTATGTCTCTTCTTTGGAAAAATGTCTAATCAAGTCCTCTGCCTAGTTTTTAATTGGATTATTTGCCTTTTTAATTGTTGTGTTATGAGTTCCTTATGTATTCTAGATATAAGTGCCCTATCATATATAGGATTTTCAAATATTTTCTCCCATTATATGGGTTGTCTTTTCACTTTCTTGATGGTGTCCTTTGAAGCACAAAACTTTTTAATTTTGATGAAGTCATATTTACCTATGTTTTCTTTTCTTGCTTATACTTTTAGTGCCATATCTTAGAATCCAATGCCAAATCTGAGGTCATAAAGATTTATCCCAAAGTTTTCTTCCAAGAGCTTTATAGAATTAGCTCTTATATTTAGGTCTTTGATCCATTAATTAAAGTGGAAGGTTAGGTTTGATTTGAGATCTTTCTTCTTTCTTAATATAGGTACTTACAGCTATAAATTTCCCTCTAAGAAGTGCTTTAGCTGCATCCCATAAGTTTTGGTATTTTGATCTTTGTTTTCACTCATCTTAAAGTATTTTATTATTTCCTTTTTGGTTTCTTCTTTGACCCTTTGGTTATTTAGGTGTGTATTGTTTAGTTTCCACATATTCATGAACGTCCCACTTTTTTCAATTATTAATTTCTAATTTCACTCCATTGTGGTCAGAAAACATACTTTGTGTTATTTCTGTCCTTTTTAACTTATTGAGGTTTGTTGTCTGTCCTAGCATATGTTCTCCCCTAGAGAATGTTCCATGTGTGTTTCTGTAGAATGTATATTCTGCTGCTGTTGGGTAGGGCGTTCTACGGATGTCTGTTAGGTCTTGTTGGCTTATTGTGCTGTCCAAGTCTGATGTTTCCATTTTGATCTTCTCTCTAGTTGTTCTATGCATTGTTGAAATTGGTATTTTACAGTTTTCAACTAATATTGTTGAATTGTCTATTCTTCCCTTCGTTTCTGTCAGTTTTAACTTTATGTATTTTGAAGCTCTATTATTATTTGCATGTATGTTTATAATTGTTATATATTCCTGATGGATTGACTTTTTATTATTATAAAATGCCTGTCTCTAGTTACAATTTTTGTTTAAAGTCTATTTATCTGATATTAGTAAAATATTAATATTTCCTTGTGGTTTCTGTTTGTATATCTTTTTCTATCCTTTTACTGTCAATCTATTTCTATCTTTGAATCTAAAGTATGTCTCATGCAGAGAGCATATAGTTGAATCATGTTTGTTTATGCAGTCTAACAATCTCTGCCTTTTGATTGCATTATTTGCATTTATGTTATTACTGATATATAGTTGATCCTCATTATTCACAGATTTTGTATTTGCAAATTCACCTGCTTTCTAAAATTGATTTGTAACCCCCAAATCAATACTTTTGGCACTTCCAAAGTCATTCATGGACATGCATAGAGCTGCAAAACATTTGATGTCATGGGAACAACATGCATGTTCCCAGCTGAGGATGACAAGGCAATGCTCTGCCTTCTTGCTTCAGCTCATACTGTAAACAAGTGCCCTTTTGCTGTCATTTAGAGCTACGTTCTTCACATTTTTGTGCTTTTCACTGGTGACCTTGCTGCTTGAAATGGCTCCCAAACATAGTGCTGAAGTGCTGTCTAGTGTTCCTAAGTGCAAGAAGGCTGTGATGTGCATTAGGAAGAAAATACGTGCATCAGATAAGTGCCATTCAGGCATGAATTATGCTGCTGTTGGAAGTGAGTTCAGTGCTAATGAATCAACAATAAATATTAAACATACATTGTGAAATAATACCATATCTATCTAAATCTATCTATCTATCTAACCCTGGCTAATATTTGGTATTTGACCCTGGTTTCTGACACAGATCTCCTAATCCCTTGGAATTTCCTGGGATAGGAGTTGTCTTTTATTCTAATAAGGCAACTCTTGGTGGGCTCCTGGATGGGAGAGGCTCACCAGAAAGACCAAGCCTTGATTAGTAGCTTGGTACTTTCAGCCCCACCTCCTATTCTCCAGAAAGGGGAGAGGGGCTAGAAATTGAGTTAATCAATGCCTACAAGATGAAGCCTCCATAAAAATCCCCAAAGTACAGGGCTTGGAGAATGCCTGGGTTGTTGAACACGTCCACATGCCGGGAGGGTGATACACCCCAACTCCATGGAAACAGAAACTCCTGCACTCAGAACCCTTCCAGAACTCACCCTATGTATCTTCATGTGGCTGTTGGTCTGCATCCTTTAAAATATCCTTTGTAAAAAATCAGCAATAATAAGTAAACTGTCTTTCTGGGTTCTGCTCTAGCAACTTATTCAAGGAGTCATGGGAACCTCCAATCTGTAGCCAAGTCAGACAGAAGTTGTGGGTCACTCGGGTGCCTGCTACTTGTAATTGGCATCTGAAGCCGGGGGCAGTACTGTGCAACTGAAACCTAACGTGTGGGGTCTGTGTTGACTCTGGTTAGGGTCAGAACTGAACTGACTTGTAGGGCACTCATATGGTGTCAGAGAACTTGTTGGGGTGGGTGAAGACCCACACATCTGGTGTCAGAAGCATTCTTCATGAGAGTAAAGGAAAACTCAATGCATTTTTCCAAGACACACATAACACAAGGTTATGTATTGATTAGTTGATGAAAATGAGGCTACAGGCTCACAGGAACCTACATCTTTATTTCCCCTAGAAGCAATTGTTGAGTACTTGCTAATCCAGTGTTCGCAGTGACTTTCTATAACAATAATGAGCATCAACTGTGGTTGGATTGATGTCTGCTATTTCACTTTTTTGTTTCCTATTTCTCCTGTCTTTCTTGTAATTGTGTTTCTTTAGTCCTTTTCTACTGCTTTCTTTTGCTTTTAGTAAATACTTTCCAATGTAGCAATTTTATTTCTTTAATGATTTTTTCATCATATATTTTTAAGTTTCCCTTTGCTCTAAGGTCTATCATGTACTTATGTTAACTTATCAGAATCAACTTCCAATTTATACCAACTCAATTCCAGTTATATATAAAAACACTGCTCATTTTTATATGTAACTCTATTCCTTCCTGTCTTTTTTGTCCTTCCTGTTATAATATTTCATCTTAAAATGTTAAAATTCCAAGAATATATTGTTATAATTATTACTTAGTATACTTTTAAGAAGCTTAGAGAAGAAAGGAACGCAAAGCTTTTGTTATCCTAGCCTTTTTATCATTTCTGGTTCTCTTCACTTTTTCCTGTGATCTGGGTTCTCATCTGCTGTAATTTCCTTTGCCCAGTACAGTTTTGCTCCCATGTACCTCCTTTGTGCTGATGTTGTCAAATATATTGCATTTCTAGACTATAGGCCCCAAAATACATTGTATACATATTGTTTTATACAATATGCTTTATATATATATTGTTTTATAAATTGTGTTAAATCAAGTAAGAGAAGAAACAAGAAAAAATATGCATTTGTATTGTCTTTTCTAATTA